GCTTCAGCCACAACGGAACACTACCTCATAAAAAATCACGTCATTCAGTAGAACCACCGTAACCAGAGAAAGAATAGGTCTTATACTTCGGCATAAAATCTGTATAAGGGGTAAAGGTTGGGCATTTTCATTTAAATAATAAATACAGGAATGCTTAAAGGCAAATAACGCCGAAAAAAAAGTAAGTTTAAAAAACAGTATAATACATGCATACCCTATATAGCAACAAAAAATAAAACTGTTTTAGTGTCTCTTTATAAATATAATCTCATCGATATATCACCAGCTGAATATCGATAGACCACCAACTCAAGGGCTAAAAATAGGAGCTTGCATCTAAGGACTGATGATCCGGCGAACTGCAATGAAACTCAGAAAGTAGCAACTCGAGTCGCCAGAAACTTTCCTCCAAACAAAAGAAACTTTCCTCCAAATCGAAATTACTCAATAGGCGGAGCGCCGAGCTCAGAAAAGAGAGGACCGGGATTTGAGCCCTTGTCGGATTCAAGGTTGATAAGTATCATTTTAATTGAAGGAACCAGGAGACTACACATTATACTTGCCAGACAGCTGCTGTTGACCCTACCTTTAAAAGAAGACATTCCTGATTGATATAAAAACTGAGATAACGTCCCATCAACTTTACGAAAAGAGCGTCAGAATGGTTCCATGATGAAAATGTAAAGAAGGCCAACATTCCAACGGCTATCAATTTTCATTTTGCTCAAAGTCAAAAATCTACAAAGTTGACGGATTTATCACCTAGTATGGATATTATTGGATAAATTTAAGACGACCCGTTTCGTAATATGACATGCAGTTATGAAGGAGCAGACTCATGACAAGCTGCGTTTACCAGATTGAACAGATAACACAGTCCCCTGAGGTGCCCTTCTTCACTGCAGAGGACCACTACCACTGAAAAAAGCCTGAACCTGCTGCCGCCGCAATCGAAAGAAATAACGTGCTTTCGCAAAAGATGCATGTACTTAACTTATTACTGAAGGTCTTAAACATAAGCAGGCTCTGAACCATGGAGGAGGGGTAATGTCGCAATGGAGCGAAGTGTTACTTTGAGTGCTGGGTTCGAATAATAGTGCCACATTTTTGTAAAATTTTTCTATTAACTGACAGTTCCCTTGAACAAGAAATGCACCCAATACTGCTTCGATGGAACAGTATGAAAAATGGGTAGCAAATCGATGACCTGCGAATAATACATATACGAAAGACACGGACAATAATACAATAGCGGACTATAATCTGTAAACAAAAACAAAAGATAAATAAAAACAACCCTAAGTTCATAATTAGGCCACTTGATGACTATCAAAGTAAAGAATCGTTTATGAATCTAACTGACATGCACGGAAGGCTTCCTGGAACTACGGTCGCCATAATGACGCAGACTAATTCATTATCAGAAGTAGCCATTCTTTGATCAGAGGCTAATTACCGGGGTCACTGGAGCAGATTCATGACTTCCGCGTTTTAAATTTATTTCCAAAGCAGTTTTCAGTCACTTCGTTTTGGTCCTAAATAAATAACGTAACTGACATTTGCGTACTTGGTTCGAGCGTTAGTGGTCATATTAAACAGCACGAAACACCGCTCATTTATAAACAGTGCAAACAATATAGTCAGTTTGATGATTAACCAGGACCTATGTTAGGGTGCCCGTCTCATGAGCCCTCTTCAAAGCTTCGTAAGTCCGTAGGGGTCCAAAAACGTCAGGGTCCAAAAAGCGAGCTTACGATCCGTGCTGCCGGATGAGGAGTTTTTGACACATAAGGGAGACAGGGCTCATACAAACCCCGCCGAGCTCTTATCCTTTGTTATGGCTAACACTGGCGCAGGACTGGATGATTAATGCCTCCTTGACGTGCTTGTTAAATCAACAACTTTCATTAACAACGCTGGTGTACTCTGACGATCGAAGGGTGTGCTTTTCTGTACAGCATAGTGCGCAATTCCGGAACTCCTTTCATATCGCTCCCTGATTTTGTCGGGGTTGAGGGTCTGCTTTTTTTCCTGCGTGCTTCGTTACCACGTGTCACTCACACTTGTTCGCGATCATCCATCTTCTCCAGCTTGAGAGGGGATATTTGGTTGCTGCGTGACGGTATTCCCTGTTTCTCCCATGAAAAATTTTCTGCAATTACATGGCAAATCGAAAACCCAGCCTAGAGGGTTGTTATCCTCAGAATTACCTAACAGGACATTAGATTCATTAAAGCTTTAAAATATAACGTTAGTTTTGTATTTAATGTTAAATAACCTTTGCAACTTCATTTTTATGATAAGGGAGAATTCCGTACGGCTCATAATTTAAAAGATTATCACTGAGATTACTGCTATAACAAGTTAATTGAAGGCATTCCACTATTTGTATCAACGAATTTAAATAATGATTGTTATCATAGGGTTAATTCAATATGCCTTATTTCTTCTTCAGGAATTTTATTGATGCAGTTTCAGAGGTCTCTCTATTAATGTTGCAGTCATAGATCTTTTGTCACTGACATGACTGAGTTAAAACTGTTTTGCTATCAGTGTTGGTAAGATTATGATAAACTTCAGTTTTATAGCAAATAACCAGAGTCAATTATTCAGACGAGAAGAAAAGTTAAATTAGAGTTATTTTCTTTCTGTTTTCAACAGTTAACTCGATATTTTGAGAGAATAGGTTGTTGAGGAGGCGTCTAATAAACTATTTTTATCACCACTGGCACAGAGAAAAAATATCATACCATTTGAAAGCCCTTGGAAACAGGTCTGGATTTGTGTTGCGGGCGACATTTTCGAAATGCTCCATAAAAATTTCGGCAAGGATGAGGGAAAGTGAGTTGCTCATGTGTGCCCCTTTGGATTGTTTGAAGAAATCACCATCGATGAAGAAATAATTGACTCTGCAATGCAAAGGATTACTAACTTTATGACAGAATCACCTGAGAGATAAGAACATTGTCCACGATAATTATCTCGTCGAAAAAGTTGACAAATTATTTTAATAGTAAGGTCAACAGGAATATTAGAGAATAAGCCTTTAACGTTGTAACTAACAATAATGCTCCCTTCACAGGCCTTAATTTGTTCCCGCTGCTGCAAAACTATAGTGGGTGCTTGGTGCATGATGGGTTTCTTCAAATGCAAAGATTCGAGTATTTCAGTGGCCAATTATGAAACCTTTGTTTAAAAACAGTTCACAGGAAGAGACAATCGGTCGGAAGGGAACGTAAACGGCAACAGTACAGTGCAAGATGGTGACAGTCGAATTTTAGAGGTATTTCTATGAAGCTGAAAAACTTGGTAACTAACATCATGTTGGATAAAGTGCTCGAACTTTATGGGCAAGAAAGGAAGTATAATCATTTGTAGAGGGAGACAGATGTTGAGCATATCCTGATATTTGTTGATACAATTTAATCTAACAACATATATAACCATATACCCTAACCATATATACCCATATTATACCATTGTTTACTCATGAAAGTTTAATGGCTTTAAATTTTGTTACGCTCAATTTAGATTTAAGCGATATAACTAAGGTTACCATAGAGTTTACTTCAACCAAGGGCTTTACTAAGATTTCTGGGTGGGGAGATTTAAATTTTTGTTAGATATAGTTTCAAATAAGGAGAAATAGTAAAACATGCGCCTGACTAAATTATTTGCGCTGCTTAGAAATAAACCGTATTTTGTGCTGATTCAGTATATTTTACATGTCATACATTTTCCGCAAGCTGTTTTATTTACCACTACGTTAATAAGGTTTCAAAATTGCAAATATGCGAGGTCTCATAGAAGCCGAATAGCAAAGAAGAAAGCACAACGCCTTTGATGCCGGTTTTGCTCCTACGTCGATAACTATTAATGTTGTACGTTTAAAAAGGAAGCTCGAGTAAGGACAGAAGCTTTCGCGCCTTGAAACAACGACTTTTCCAAAGCTTTCAGCTTTTACTTTCATTCATTAATATTCGATATATCATGTTAATCTCGTTTGACAGTAAATTCCGATCATTCTTGCCCCAAGTAGTTAATATAATCAATTTTCTTTATTTCTAAACGTAAAAATTAAATAATTACAAAACAATCAACCTACTAACATTAACACAATATTTGAGTCTGTTTGACAAAACCCTTGACCGATGTCTCAGAAAACATATTCAAGATAGCCGTAGTTCGGAGAAGGGGATCACTCCATAAAGGGATGACTACCGAATTGTTAACTCTATACTCTCTGTTCGCTGTAGAGTAGCCTCGCTTCTGTTTGTTTTACTTACAGAATCATCAGTTACAAGTGCATCCTTCCAGCGCGCTTCCGGAACAGTCATTCAGTCGTAAGATAGGGCTCGATCCTGAACTGGCACATTCACGAAAAGTAACTTTTGTCTCAGACAGACTTGTTTTATAAAAGTATCAATGTCCCTCCAGTGTCTCGCCTCGATAATAGGATTCTTTAGGGTTTGCGCAGGATATTTTCTGCAGTGGCAGCCGCTGGAGTGAC